AGACCAGTGTGTATGTATGCCCGTTTGCACGCGTCTATGCGTGTGTGTGTGTGTGTGTGTGTGTGTCTAGTCTCGTCTCCCAGAACAAAACTAAACACCATCCTGCACTCAGGGGCAGCGCCAGGGGGTAGCTTGGAGTTGCTATAGCAACTCCAACAATTGGCCTAGCAACGGCTTAGCAACCCCATTGTTTTGTTATGAAAATATCTATATATATTTATACACATTCTCGCGAGATCTATCAGGGGTCATTGTAAGTTAAAGCGCAAACTGTTACTTGGCTAATGTTGTTATAATTCTCAGTATGTGAACACAGATCGAAAATGGAAAGATTTCTCACAAGTCAGCATAAACGGCCGCGATCTCCAACGGAGCCGGTCCAGCCGGACAACCCTGTGTGTGTGTGTGTGTGTGTGTGTGTGTGTGTGTGTGTGTGTGTGTGTGTGTGTGTGTGTGTGTGTGTGTGTGTTTGTGTGTGTGTGTGTGTGTCTGTCTGTTTGCGGTGTGGTGATGAGGTTAAATGCCACAGCATGCCAGTTGAAACAGTGAACGATCGCTATTGTGTACGCTTAGGGTGTAATGGTATTATACACACATATTGTAGGAGCACAGAAACAGTGTTCAAATTCTGCTTTTACAAACTTATTTTGGTTGTGCTTACCTTGCAAAGGAATGTAAAGTTATTTAGGCAATGATGTTGGCGGGAGTTAGGGAGAGATCGCCCCTTCCAGGTGTGTGTGTGCGTTTTCCGGTGTGTGTGTAGGGAGTACGAGACGGTAGGAGTTGTGTTCGAGTGTGGGGAAAAGTCATAAGAGTGTTATACTATTGATTGGTTCTGTAAGGCGTGGCTGTGGCCGTCAATACCATAAAATAAAGAGAACGTTTTCGACATTGAAGGCTCGTGATCTGTGATCTTGAATAGCGGTGAACGCTACAATATGAACAGGCTCGTGCTTGGCCCACTGGTATTGTTTGTTTATTTATTTTGAAAATTAACTAGCAACGCCGTGCTGTCATATAGCAACTGCTAAGCTACTGCAGCAAAAAAATCCTGGCGCCGCCCATGCCTGCACTGCTTATTAAACGATATGAATACTTGGCACTGTAACGGAGGGGGAGGTGGGAGACATACAACGACACAACGTAAACGATAAACACAACAAACATTACTACGCCAAGTGGCATAGACAATACATAAATACAATCGTGAGATAAGGTAGGCCCCATCTCCTATCCGCGATAGTACTGTGTAGGCGCAGGTTCGCTGCATCAACCAGACCGAAAAATAAATGAAATTAACTTATATATACAGTACCAGCATGTCCTGAGAATAAGACCGCAACATTTTTAAGTGTTTTGTTTTTTCTTTTCTTATTCTGTTAATCAGCATTAACTTGAATAGAGCAACAAAAATAGTGAAAATAAAACTCTGGTTGCCTCTACATACTTGAATTAAAGAGTTTGAAATGAAGGGGAGCAAGCAAGTTAGGATTTTTAAAGCGCAGTCACTTAAAGGGCCCATGTCATGGCCATTTCCACTGATCATAATTACATTGTTGAGGTATACTAAAATAGATTTATACTGTGCAATTTTCCAAACTCACATTGGTTTCGCATACAGCATCTCTGTCAAGCATGTGTATTCAGCAGTATTCACTTTCTCCACTAAACGACTCGTTGGAGCTCTTGCCCCCCCCTCCCTGTGAGCCTAGTGTGCTCCGATTGGTCAGCTCGGCCACTCGTTCTGATTAGTCAACCACCAGAGAGGCTGCGCCCATGTCTAACAGTGCTTTTCCCGGCTGCTCTCAGCGTAACATCAGTCTTATCATGGCGTCGGCACAGCCGTATATTTTATATACATATATATTTTTAACTGTTGTTATAGAAGAGTGTGACGGCCCCAGGGCCTTTGTCTTACGATGGGATGGAGCTGAAGAGGCTAATCAGCACGATCACGGACACCTCCGGACACTACGGCCCCAGTCTCTCTCCAAAGCGGCTGCAGGAAGACTAACTCTGCGATCCTCTCAACCACCTATCTCTCCATTTACCACAATAAATGTGCCGTGGTTTTGTAAACTCGTGTATGTCTCCTTGTCTTTGTGGCCTACGAGCCGCTCATAACAAAGAGTAAGTTATGTTTACCCGTTATAAACTACTACTGTTTGATGAGAAATCAAATCATGGTTTGCTATATATGAATTCAGGGAAGAAAAGATAGGCCTACTAAGTATTTCCATTAAACTTTATTTTTAGAAATGTACAAAATGAACATAAATATACATATATACACACGGTATATCATCCATTCCTCCTCCTTGCATCTTGCCTGCGCACAGTCGGTGCAGTGCCTTTTAGCACGACGCCTCAGTAGTAGTAGAAGTGCCTTTTAGCACGTCATGGATTGTCCGCCAGGATCTGGCTGGACGAAATCAAATGCAAATCACAAAATATTAGAGAAACTTAGTTGTTTTAGATTCGTTAGTAGTAGTTGTGGAATGAACAGCTTGCCTGCTAATATGCTAACCTAGCTTTGTTTACCTTGGTAGCTAACACGATATGAACGTTAGCTTGGAGGAAAGGCAACTATAATGCAGTGTAATAAAACTACTATGAACAAAAGCTAGTGGTTCATATTAGGCTAGCAATAACGTGTTTATAATTGCAATCGTATACGGGTATTCTGCTACCATACAATGTAACTTGCATGAATACATTGTTTTGCGCTAGCATACAGCTAGCCTCGTTAGCTACATGCAGTATATGTACGGTCACAATGTACGGTAAATCACAGTACAGTATACTGTATGAGTATTCCGTGTGTGTGAATGCAGACATTCTCCTGCTATGAGATACATGTATGCAAGGCCATCTGCTGATATTAGAGTTGATATATGGAAACTCTAGCAACTTAGTTAGCACAGTTAGCACTGTGTCAATGGCTTAGCAGTCCAACACAGTTTACACATTTAAACAGTCTTGTTTGATAAATACACAAATAACAATGCAAACTTACAGGTTGTATACCCAGATCTTCCCCTGCTCCAAACGGTCCAAACAAGCTGTGCATATCCGGCCTCAAACTGGGCAATGTTTTGGAAGCTTTCGTCTGTGAAATGCCGGTTCTTCGAACCTCTGGAGGAGGAACACGCCGCTGCTGGTGTGGCCATAGCTCTTCGGGATTGGTCCATTTCGTTCCGGGTACCGCATGACATCAGGCGGTACCCGGAACTAAATGGAAGACTCAAATGGGCAGTGACGTATCTCCAACGAGGCGTTTTGGGGAGGTATTTTCTGTGTTAGAGTTTTACTCGCTACAGGGTGTACTTTGAGGGTTTTGACTCTGCACACCGTTTACATGCATAAAAACCTTCATAACACACAAGGGGACGGGTAATAACCGGAAAAGCATGACATGGGAGCTTTAAATATTGAAAGTCATCTTTAGGAAAGAAGAGCAACCAGCTCAAAAAACGTCTGGAAGTTTGACTTTCAGGTCCCTTAGTGTCGCCTCCGGTGATTCATATTTGAAAGTCTCTCCTTCGATAGTGATGACAAATCTTGCAGGATGAAGCAGACCGAATCGCAGACCGGTGTTCTTAACTTTCTCGATGATGTCCTTGTAGGCCGCTCGTTGTTTTTGGATCTCCATTGCCAGATCCTGTCGGACGAAGAAACGTTGACCCTCGAAGAGTAGTGCCTGCTTGTTTCTGGATGCTTGTAAGATGCTCTGTCTGTCACCCCACCGGAGCAGCCGCACGATGATGGTTCGCGGAGGCTTATCTGGGTTCGGTTTAGGTCCGAGGGCTCTGTGTGCCTGGTCGATCTCTGGGAGTGGGTCGCTCTCTTTCAAATCCAAAATACAACATATCATTTTGTTCAAGAAGCTGACCAGGTCCCCTGCTTCAGCGCCTTCCTTCAGCCCACTGATTCTGATATTATTCCTTCTTCCTCTGCTCTCGAGGTCGATAACCCGTTCGCGTAAAAGTTTCACATCTTTGGATAATTGTTTAACTGTCGCACCGTGGGTGCTGGCTTGATCTTCTAGCGTACTTATCCGTTTTTCACCGTTAGATATCCTGTTGAGTGCTGCTTTCGTGTCTATTCATTGTTTGTATAGTCTTTTGGAGAGTATCAAATGTATTCTCAAATCCCTTTTTGATATCTTGAATCTCTGCGCACAGCTGCTGGGCCCAGCGCGGTGTTACCTCTGTGTTTTCCTCAGCTGGTTCCATTGTGCGAGCGTCTTCGTGGTGTTTATTCCTCTGCGACTTCGCTGTCTGCCTAGTTTGATGCTTTTTAGACATTCGCTTAGAACCAACTTCAAGCAGCAGAGATCAAAAAGTCAATATCAGGAAAAGACTGTTTTAGCCGATTATTTTTAGCAAATTCGGTCTGATGAGAAGCAGCCACCTAGTGCGCCATGTTCACCTGTCGTGTCACGTGATTCTCAACGGCGGCTATTAATAATAACAATAATAAAACAATTCCACAACCTCTAGTGGCACTCAAGTTCAGGTTTCTCATTTTAAAATGTATGTTTGTCAAGTTTATTTGTATTGCTTAGTAAAAGAATGTGAAGCTTTTACAGTAGCTGTTACATGGATATATGTTTACACTCAAATGTATATCCACTTAATGCAGGTGGAACAGTAGCAAAGTGACAATGGTAAAGTTAGCATTCTAATATCTGAAGAGCAGGGCGACAATTTGGAAGATTTAAATTACATTTCACAAACGTCAATTTATGAAACATTACACTGATTACGTTTGACTGAATAACGCCAGTTAGCTTAGCATAATCAGACTTATAAATAACTCAAAAACCCACAGTTTTCTCCATATATGCAGACAGCAGTTACAAAGATGAATCTGTTTAAACTCTAATCTGGGAAGTGATGGATTAAATGGAACCTCGTGCTTTTGCTAAAGTCCAGACCTGTTAGCCTAGCTTAGCATGAAGACTGACAGCAGATGGAAACAGCTAGCCTGGCTCTGACCTTGCTAAAGACGGTCTTGACGTAGATGGGCAGGTCTCCATGTGGACTGCCGAATCCTCCAACGATGCTGAAGCCAAGTCCCTCAGATCCTTTCGCCAGACTGATGCTGCGGGGCCGCGGGGCCCTGAGGAAGAGGGTGGGGGGGTCAGATACACTGGGGCACTACAGTATTGTGTATGTTGTGTGTGTGTGTGTGTGTGTGTGTGTGTGTGTGTGTGTGTGTATGTGTGTGTGTGTGTGTGTGTGAGCTCACTCTGGCTCGGCTGTGTGTGTGTCAGTGTTGGCTGACAGAATGGAACCGCTGGTCAAACTCTCCACCTGAGTGGCGATGGCGCTGATGTTAGTGTCCGCTACCACCTGAGAGACACACACACACACACACACACACACACACACACACACACACACACACACACACACACACACACACACACACACACACACACACACACACACACACACACACACACACACACACACACACACACACACACACACACACACACACACACACACACACACACACACACACACACACACGCACACACACATGCACACAGTAAGAAAAATAGTGTGTCAGTTGTTTAAACTGAATTGAACCGATTTCATCTAAAGTGGCTCTCCAGTGATTTTACAAGTTTAGAGCATCCTTCACAGCTTTACTATCCAGGAAACTATTAGGACATGTTTCAAAAGCATCTGTTCTTCATTAAAGGTCAGGTATTAAACTGTATTTCAACAAGACATTATAGGTCTCAGATATATACAAAATATGTCTCTGAAGTTTTCTGCTCAAAACACCAAACAGATTGTAGCATGCCATAAACCCCTCTGTTTCAGCCCTGTTCTAAAAGTGCTGAACACTGCGGAGGAGAGGCGTTTCACATGACACAGACACACAGAGGGGCTGCAGGGGCTTACAGTAGTTGGTTTGATGCTAATGCTGTACAACCCAAAAATGACGTAAACTATGAACTTTTACGTCACGTATGAACCGAAACGGTGGGTTACGTATTGTAACCCTTGTTATATAAGCACAGGCGGAGCCCTCTACTGGACTCTATGGGTACTACCTTATCATGCAAGCATTCACCTACTGATATTTCTATAGACGTAGCCGACCCCGGGGCGGGCCTACCTGAATGCGTGTGCATCTCACCTCCGTATAAAAGGAGGCCTCGCCTCCTGACCATCATCCTACACCACTCTTCAGCGAGCAGTATAGGACAGACAGTGCCCCTGAGTAGAGGGCTCCGCCTGTGCTTATATAACAAGGGTTACAATACGTAACCCACTGTTATATCTCTCACAGGCTCCGCCCTCTACTTGACTCTATGGGTACAGTGGGCGGAGCCCCGATGTATACACGCACTGTCGTCCAACACACCGTTCCACCTCACTGTCCCTGACCGGCTTTAGCAGCCGCTGCGCCTCACTCACCTCTCCCTCGGTTGTAACCGTGGAGAAGTCCGGGCTGCGGCTGACAGAGCACACCTTGACGCGCTTACCTCGCAAAAAGTGTGCTCGAAAACAGTGCTGAGGGCTCCCCCCCGTCCGCCTATAGGCAGACAGAGAAAGTCCGCAGCCCTGTATGGGTTCACTATGCACCACCTCTCCCGAGTCCCTAAGGAGCACGGGGAGAGCGCAAGTGCCCCCATGTCCCCCACACTCAGACCCCGTGCAGAGTGTGTACAGACTATAGTGTGGAGGGCTCTCCCCATCCTGCCCCCAGGCAGGCGAGGCGAGCCCTCCAGCCCTGTAAGGGCCCAGTGCGCACTACGTCACCCCGCGACCCTCCAGGGGGCCCGGAAAAAACGTAAGCGCATTTACAGATGTAGCCCTTCATTTCAGATGCCTACCCGTGCGGGTCCGTGATCTGCACGGGGCGGGCCCCTGCTGAAAAGGAAAACCCCCCGCAGGACTTGATACGCCCCCCTTGATAAATACATTTAATTATAATGAAACCAGCTGCAATGGATCCACCAGGGGGAGCAGTGATTAAAAAGCTGCCACAGTGGAACTCTTGTGAAATAAAAAATAAACAGCTGATAGATCTACAGTAGAGGTATCTGATATAGCGGATATTTGTTAAGATCCATATGTCACGGATAGGATCATATTCTGTGCTAAATAAGAGACATGTAATCATTTACAAAACATCACCATGTTTTTATTTAACAAAATAATGTTGTTTAATCCATGTTGGCGTAAGTACAAAACCATCGCTATGTTTTTTTGTCAGGAAATGCAGACCGGCTCATACAAACGATTTTTAATCATCATCCTCACGATCATTTAATGTATCATATGTTCGCCGAATTGACATGAATGCACTAATACATGTAGTATTACTTCCACACGAGACCGCTCGAAAGCGGTGGGGAGAGGCGGGGCTATGGCTTCATCTATCGGGAAATGATCGTATAGAGGCGATTACACGGAGCCGTTTGACCCCCCAGAGCGTATCCATAAATCTCTTCATTTTGCCCTCAAAGTGCACCAGATTGATGCATTTAACTTCAATTTAAAGAAAAACATCTTCTGTTGTAACAACAATAACATTATAAATAGTAACATAGCTGAACATGGTATTGCACATTTAGCTTTCAGTGTTACTGACCTGAGATGTTTTTATTACATGAATTAAGGTGACTGAGGCTTTTTAACATAGACTTTTCAGTGTCCCACATTTTGCACAGAACTGTCCCACATTAGGAAATGCAGATTGTCTGAGACAACTTGGCACTAAGAGTACTGATATGTCTACCATTTATTTTATGAGTGTAATATCTGCATTTTCTCTTTTGGTTTGATTAGGACTAGGGCTGTCAGTCGATTAAAATATTTAATCGCGATTAATCGCATGATTGTCCATAGTTAATCGCGATTACTCGCAAATTAATCGCACATTTCTTTTCTGTTCTAAATGTACCTTAGAGGGATATTTTTCAAGTTTTTAATACTCTTATCAACATATGAGTGGACAAATATGCTTTATATGTTTGTTTATTATCATTTGAACAATGACAAATATTCTCATGAATATTAAACACAACAACCTCTGAACATTACAAATATTCGCCTCAATTCAACCTGGAACCTCTCTCATACAATAATACAGTGTGTGTGTGTGTGTGTGTGTGTGTGTGTGTGTGTGTGTGTGTGTGTGTGTGTGTGTGTGTGTGTGTGTGTGTGTGTGAATGTACTGTGATGGATCGTTGGAGCTATGTGCAGCTCAAGGCATATATGCTCGAACGGGAGGTGCCTGGACGCTGCAATCATGTTGCGCGCACTATCCGTGCTGAGTGTGCTGACTTTTTGTACAATGTCCCACTGTCTGGCTACCTGCATAAAGTCAAGTGCTCGGCGCAGTTGTCGGCGAAATGTTGCTCCTCTGTTTTCATTGAAACAGCTCCTTATATCCGTTAGCGCAGCTAGCTAGCACCAGATGCTAACAACAACAACAACACGTAAGGTGTGCCTCGCTCGCACCACACATACACACACCCTCCCGGTCCTCCCGATGGCCAGTCCGGGCCTGCCGGTGAGCGTGGAAGTGTGGTCTGCCACAAGCGGGCGGCAGGAGCGGGGCTGTCAGCATCAGTTTGGTATTTTAAACTCGATGCGCTCTGAAACTACGGGGCGGCCGAGGACAAAAAATACACATGCGTTAATCGCGTTAAAATAATTAGTGGCGTTCATTTTTTTTTGCGTTCACACGTTATTAACGCGTTATTAACGCGTTAACTTGACAGCCCTAATTAGGACACATCCTGGGGATTGTGTTTACAAACATTGACCATACTGTTCACCAGCCCCCACCCCTCTATGTTGCCTACTGTATGTTGCGAACTCTTTGTTTAAAACGAATTGGCCATCGGAATGTGTGGAGGAAGTCTCCCAAGGGGGATGGTCACATTCCACAGCTCTCCCCCCCCCCCTCCTGTGATCTCCCAACCCCCAGTCTGTAGGTTTGTGTTCGCATATTTAAGCTGTCGCACTTCCTGTTGTTTCTATCGCGCATTGCCGGTATGAAAGGGTCTGTGCCGGAAATATCAAACATTTAATAAAAGTGAAAAACAATGAACAAGACTTAACGTATTAATAATAATTAATTATATTTATTCCGTTTGGATGTACGATATTTGACTTTGTTTAGAGCAGTGAATTCTCTTCCTCTCTGCAGCAGAGAGCTAAACGCTGTCAGACCGGACCTAACCCTAACCCTGAAAAGTATTATCATCTGAAATTAATCATTATGTTATTAGTATTAAATACATATAAGTATTTTTACAACTTGTATTTAGAAATACTCTGTTGTAATTATTGATGCATTAATGTGTTCATCCATTCAATGTGGCATCTGCTATAATGGAGTTAATGTATGATATTACTTAATAATACAATGCATTATAATATATGATAATTACATTTTAATTTTATTCATTTCTTATTTCATAGTTTCTCATTATTATTATTTTTATTTTTATCGCTGATCTTATTTTTGATTTTATTAATCTGTGTGAATCTGTGCTGTCCTGGTTTTCACTCTCACCCTGTTGCTCTTTGAACTACTGAATTTCCCCACGGGGATTAATAAAGGTCCATCTTATCTTATCTTAATGTATAAATTGATTTACTTCGATCTACTGTACTTTGTAAAAACACCACAACAATATTACAACAAATATACTGCATAAAGCAAACTAATGTAAAGGTAAAAGTATGAGCATAAAAAATAAAGAAGTGTAAACATTTACATTATTATGATTATTTAATATATAAAGACTATATATTATTGAATTACAATTAAGATAATAAGATTAGATATACTTTATTTGATCTAAAATATTGATGTTTTTTCGTTATAGCAGCCTGTGAAAACCATAACAAATAAGTGATTAAATGCTACAGTATTCAGCAAACACAACTGCAGAGCTGCAACATTGCAAACAGACTAAGTTCTACAACACCAAGTTGTCTTTGTGTATTTGTGAATGAAGCGCCATCTCATGGTTAAATCCTGTAATTGAACAAATGGGGAAATTTGGCAACGCCCTCGAGCAATTTGGCAACGCCCCCAGCCACTGGGATCCGCTGGGTTTTTGGTTGGGACACACCCATTGGAGTCCTATCTGGAGTGCTACATCTGTACGCCTGGGGAGGGGGTCAGATGCCCACTGACCCACAGCAGCCCCCCTCCTCACCAGTCCTGTGTTGCCCCAGCAAGCACAGACGCGGAGAAAGAGCCAGACATATCCAAGAGATAAAACCTTATGAAGGGGCCTGGCGTTGACCAAGACGCCGCTGTGCATAAATCCTCCACACTCACACCGTTGAATAAAGCTGTTGACACAGCCACAGCCCAAGCGCACGGACCCCTGCGGGGCAGGCTCTCCCTGCCTGTTCGTAGGCATGTGCAATGCCTCTGCAGAACCAGCCTGCCAGGCGTTTCTTGGACAGAGCTTTCCCAGTCACCCCGCCCCCGAAGCACACGAACAGCTGTTCGGTGCGTCTAAGGGCAGCCGTGTGCTCCACATAACATGCTAACGCACGCACCGGGCAGAGGAGGTGCAGTTTAGCTTCCCTGGCCCCACCATGGGGTGGAAGACTAAAACCCCCCAACTGAATAGCCCTCGACCTGAACGCACTCCTTAGGCTCTTGGGCACAAAGGAGGGGTTCGGTCTGAGTGTCGCGCCGCTCCGGTCACCCCGAATCAACAAGCAACTCGGGTGCACCGACAGAGCGGTTAACTCGGACACTCTTTTGGCTGACGTTAAGGCAAGTAGCAACGCTGTCTTCCACGACAGTGCTTTCAGGGAGGAGAGCTCCAGAGGCTCAAATGGTTCTATGACCAGAGCCTCAAGCACCAGCGGCAGGTCCCACTGCGGGGCGGAGGCGTGCACTACTGGGCGCAGCCTCTCTGCTTTCTCTCATACGTCTTACTGCTCAGTGTCACTTCCGCTCACTGAAGAGAAAGGGATGATGGTCAGGAGGCGAGGCCTCCTTTTATACGGAGGTGAGATGCTTGCATGATAAGGTAGTACCCATATGGCGCATTTCCATTGCAGCGCGTAGCTCGCTTTAAGCGTGCCGTGTCGTGCCGTCCCCTTTTTTGGTTGTGCTTCCACTAGGCCTCGTTCCGGCGCGGCACGGCGCGGGGCCACTTTTTCCCCTCTTTTCTGGCCCTAGAAAATTGTGGCCAACAAACAGGGCTGAGTCGGGCTGAGTATGCTAAACTAGAGAGAGGAGCGCTGGCAAGAGGGCTAGAACTACAACAAGATGGACATATTTGACCGTGATTTAATTGTAATACACGTTTCAAAATGATGCCGAAGTAACAACATACTGATACCGGTTAGTAAAAACCATGAATTAATGCTTTGTCAAGTCTGCAGACAGACGGCAGGCGAAAAACCTTTTAAAATTCGTGTTTTTCTAGATGGAGATTGGCTAAGCTAACGCAGTATATGCCCCGACCGTCCACACTCACAACAACGGCCTATACAGACATAAATAAAGCAGCGACTGTATTCACCATGACACAGGCAGTCTGTGGTGTGTACTTGTTTAACCTTTGTCGAGTTTCTGAACATATATAAGGAGCTGTGAGCTCTGAGTGCTAACAGCTAACGGTTGTGTTGTGTTTCTGGATTTCTCATTGAAGATGACGTCACGGCTCCTCCTACACTGCGTTACTATAGTAACTACCCCAGTTCCTAAACTGTAATGGAAGCGCAGCATGAAGTGAGTCGGCCCTGTTAAGGCCCAACGCGGCCAAGCCGTACCGAGCCGTACCGAGTGTGGCCGAGGCCGACCGTGTAGTGGAAATGCGCCAATAGAGTCCTAGAGGGCAGAGCCTGTGAGAGATATAACCTTCTCGCCTGTTTTTTGAGCAGCGTTCACATACTTGGATCAGGACGGAGAGAGAGACAACCTTTTTTGCTGAAACGTTCTGATTGTCTTAACACACAGTGGAGACATACATATGTATTCAATACATTAAAAAGTGCATTTTGCATAATAGGGGACCTTTAAACTAGTTTATATTACAGCAGTGCTGCTTTGCGTTTGTTTTTGGATTAAGTGTAAAGTAGGACCACACAATGGGAGGTTGGTGTAACACCGGCAGTGTTACCTTCAGGCTGATTTTTCCGTAGCTGTTCTTCAGCATGGTGACGGCCTCGCTGTGCGACAGACCGTCCACAGACTGACTGTTAATACTGACGATCCTGTCCCCCACCTGAGCACACACACACATACGGGCTTTCTTATTTTATATGGGGTATTATTGTGTGTCATTGATACAAAAATAACAAATCCTAACACACAGCCAAAATGATCTTAGTCTACCTTTAGTTTGTGCGTTTTGGCAGCGACACCGTTGGCCTGAATCATGGCGATGAAGATGGGTATGTCACCCAGCGGGCTGCCCTTCCCCCCCGCTATGCTCACCCCGAGAGAGTCACTGACAGTCTGAAGGGTGAGAGTGAGAGGAAACGTCGACATAATTGTAAAGACTTGCTTCAGATGACGAGTGCTAATCTCCCCTCAATGATTTCAGCTTCCTCAGGAAGTGCCGGTGTTACACCATCATCTCTAACCCATCACATTACGCATCATCCTTTCACTCTGTTGGAGCCGACACCTTTGGGTCAGTTTGTTGATTGGTTCGTCAGAATGCTTTAATAAACAAATGAGACCTTAGACATAAATTCTGGTGTTACTTTCGTTATATGAGCAAAAAACTGGCTTTTCAATCAAAGAAGGAGGTAGGGGCACGTGTAGGAGAGTGGTCGTTTGTGCATATCGTTCCAGGTTGGGCTGAAGGGATTGGTTATCCGATGGGTCAGGTGGATGTTTGTTTTAAACACCCTCACCACTGCATCATTGCTTTAATATATAAGAATTTGCATGTTTCAATATATTTGGTGTAATAGAAGCCTAATTGTTTATTTTCTGCAGCTTTGAGACTTGTGGAAATTATATATCAGGTTGGCTTTGAGTCTATTGTTATAATTTCAGTACAAAAACATTGCTTAAAAATGATTTATTTAGTGCAAAAAGCTTTTCAATGTTTATTTATATTTAATTTCTGCTACTGTAGTTGGTAGAAGGCCTTCGGTGCAGGGTGGCCGATGTAATTCATCCGCATCTGTAATTGGCACAAAATTTTTTTTTAATCATACTTTCTCACAAGCATTATTTCCACAGCTGGTAGACTGTTAAACATTGTGCCATCATAGAATTTGGACAGGGTCACATATTTGCAGTAGACCTGATAAACATAGATGTTGGATACACTATAATATCTAATAGGACACACCAGGTGATCTGTCTGTAGAACACAAACACCTCATCTGACCATATTTGGTCTTCCTCAGGAAGCTGAACTCCGTCCAGACATCATGTGAGCGTTCAGACACCGCTTCCTTAAAAAACAGTTACTCTTTCATGAGATGCTGTTAACAATCAGAAGTTATCCAGCAAAAATAAGTGTTTACATGTCAGCACATCGCAGGATTATGAGTCCCTCTCTCAGGTTTATACCCGCCATATACAAATATACACTTTAACCTCCATCAAGAACTCAATTTCTTCCACTGACAATGTACTTTTTAATTGTTATACTTATATTTGTGTTATTCTTATAATTTACTTGTCTGTGTAATACTCTTTTATTTACCCGTGTGATCTCCACTGTTCGGATACCAGCATCTACCCCTACACAAACACACAGAAAGGAAAAAATAACAGTGAGTGTCTGCATCAATATCACACTATCATCATATTATATCATACAAACATCATATAATTACATTATTTATGATTCCATGAAAACCTGTTTAAAGCTATAGTAAAACTTTAAAGTAACTTAAAATCCTGTTAAAATACTTTAGCTACATTCTTTTACCCCTTAAGAGACATGTGAACGTGCTTAGTAGCATAAATCCACTCCTTTATGTAACCCTTCACATGACATTGAAAAGGTGCCCTAATGACATTTGTCACATTTTAAGTAAACCCAAAGACATCATTTATCACCGTAACATTTTTTTTAACAGTTAACGCTGGCCTATAAACTGTTTACAGATACTGAAGACTTCAGTAATTTCAAAGCATACACAAGATTGAGGATTTTTTTTAATTAAAAATTGATACCTTAAAGGCCCTTAATCTTTTTATTTTTGTGAAAATTCAGGCTTTGATGCTGCTTGAGAAAGTTCAGTTAAAAAAAACGTTATCCACTCCCAACACGCAGGACATGTTATGTATTTGTTCATGTATCCTAATAACTCCGCTCTCTACCTGTGCTGTTAGAGGAGGAAGTGATGTCACTGATGGTCTCCATGTTGTTGTTAAGGGGCAGTAAGCCAGTGGGGGTCATTGTCGGGGGGTCAGAGTTCACAGGGTCAGGTGATGTTGAGGTATGTGTGAGGGGTGGAACCACAATGCCTGAGCTGTTCCCACTCACGTGACTCATCTGGAACAAAGACAGGTTATACAAAACATGATATTTCTTGCTTCTGTTATCAGCTGTTTACAAATCAACAGGCTGTCTCTCAAATCATGTTTGCACACACTGCTTAGTAGCACCTTGAATAATGGTTCAACTTTAAGACCCCCTTTATACGAGAACGAAACGGCTTGTATCCGCATAGTTTCTCTTGCGTATAGCCCTATTATTTACACAAGGCCGTAACAAAACGATAGAAACGGACCCCACAAACGATAACGGGTCCCAAGGTGGATAGATTTGCAAACGAAACGCTCTGGGGGGTCAAAAGGCTCCGTGTAATCGCCTCTATACGAATATTTCCTGAAAAAATAACGATAGCCCCACCTCTCCCCACCTCTGCTGCACACTGCTGTAGCATGGCCAGTAGCTACTGTCAGTAGCTACTGCTAGTGCTACTGCTACTGACCATGCTACAGATGTTAGGGCAAAATCTACAGCTCCTCTACCACAACCATCAGCAACAAGTGGACATGGAGAATTACATGAACTACTACATGCTGCTAAATCCATCGCGGGGCATAAACAGAAGGGTAGCCATGGCAACATTGCTCCGGGGTCTTCTTCGCTGCTTTTGGTGTATTTTGTGGCGGAAGTTACAGCGCCACTTACAGTCCCGGCATATGTACTACAGCGTGTCCAGCGCTTTCGAGCGGTCTCGTGTGGAAGTACAGCGCCACTTACAGTCCCGGCATATGTACTACAGCGTTTCCAGCGGTCTCGTGTGAACAGACACGTTAAATGAAACGAATGCATGTGAACGGAAGACTTTTTTGAAAATGCATACTGTGCATAAACGCAAATGTTCCCGTGTAAAAGCAGCCTAAGAGAGAATAAATGTACACCATTTAACACTTGCTTTCATTATTCTATTCATATAAAACACCTAACTCTATATACAGTGCAAGAACACACACACACACACACACACACACACACACACACACACACACACACACACACACACACACACACACACACACACACACACACACACACACACACACACACACACACACACACACACACACACACACACACACACACACACACACACACACACACACACACACACACACACACACACACACCTGGCTTCCTTGTGAGTTGCGTCTGGAGGTGATCCAGGATGCAGCTTTGAGTCGTCCGAGCTCCAACAGGACCAGACCTCGAACACACTGCAGGACACAAGAACACACATTCCAAAGTACAAATATGTGACCATCAATCTCCACAGCCCAGAGACCTTTGTTTCCTGTCTGTTCTACACTTCCATAGATCAAGTTAAAGCAGAAATGCAAAGAAAATTATAAAAAGAACACCTGAGCCCTTGAAAGCAATCAACTATTGTGTGTGTGTATGTATGTTTGTGTGTGTGTGTGTGTGTGTGTGTGTGTGTGTGTGTTACCTTCAGTATGGCAGCGACAGTTTCCTGGGAGGCATGTCTTGTGTCTTCTCCGTTGACTGACAGGATCTGATCTCCCTGCATCAGACGACCGTCCAGCTCAGCGGCGCCCCCTTTGACCACCTCAGAGATAAACACACCACTGCCACTCCTTACACACACACACACACACACACACACACACACACACACACACACACACACACACACACACACACACACACACACACACACACACACACACACACACACACACACACACACACACACACACACACACACACACACACACACACACACACACACACACACACACACACACACACACACACACACACACACACACACACACACACACACACACACACACACACACACACTATGTTGTGTTAAGTCTCTAAAATATGATTTGTACGCAAGGATATAACATTTCTATTAGTGGTGCAGCCTTAACTTTAAAGATCACCTATTATGCAAAATCCACTTTTCATGTCTATTATAAATAAAGATGTGTCCCCTCGGTGTAAAGAGATTCTGTAAGTTTCAGGAAAAAATATTTGCTCACTTTTTGTCCTGAAACATTTAAATAAAAACCTGTCTGAAAATAAGCTGATCAGATTTTGGCCACTTAATGATGTCATAACGATTAGCCAATCAGCAACCAAGGTAGCCGATTAGCCCCCCCCCCCCACCTTATCACCTGAATCTCCTCCTAGAGCACCATTGTGTTATTTTAAACCAAATATCTCCCAGAGGGGCATGGTGAGTGGCTCCTTATTTTCATCTAAAGTAACAGACAGAGAATCAGCACTTTTGAAACAGGGCTGAAACAGAGGGGATTATGGGATACTACAATGGGTGATCTGTTTGGTATTTTCAGCCAAACACTTCAGAGACATGTTTTGTATATATCTGAGACCTATAATATATTGATGAAAAAACAGTATAATAGGGGACCTTTAATAAATGTAGTTTTACATTTTAACCAACAACAGCAGTAACACACACTGAGGGTCTGCAGTGGAATGTGTGAGAAGTGATCATTGAGTGTTAGTTTTCAGCGGACCTCTTCCCAACGATGCTGAGTCCCAGCCCCCGGCCGCTCCTCTTCTGCAGTTCCACCTTGAAGACGTCCAAGTTCTCCTCATCTCTGTACTGCGCCTCGTCCCTCAGCACCGTCAGACGGACCGTCGCCGGCGTCTGTCTCAGGGCGGCGATGGCCTCCTCGTGAGACGCCCCACGCAGGTCCACCCCGTTCACCTAAAATTCAATAAACTTAAATAAATTCCTACGTTTTGTGCATCTTCAACAAGAGGAATAACCATAATCTGATAGATGAAGGGTTTCTCTATGGGCTCAGAACAGTCTCATAATACACACATGCACACAGAAGGATTCACACTTGTATTTCATGATCCGCAAAAGGATTCACACTTGTATTTCCGGATCCACACTTGTGTTTTTCAATGCACACACAAATGTGTTCCGTTTCATATACATGTAAATAAAATCAAAATACAGAAAAAGGTTTTACATATGAGCCCTTGAAAGCAAGGGCACATTTGTTTTCCGTTTAAAACCGCTGCACCTACAAACACAAACCGCTTTCTGTGCATGGATCGTTGTGCATTCGTGTGTGGGTTTTTTGAGACTCCCCTGACGGTCACCCGATTCGTACTTGTAATTTTTTCTATCTATAGCCAATCAGATGTCTCCTCCATTCTAAGCCAATCACATGAGCGCGCCCCCACGAGGGTATAATTTCTTGCGTTCATGACGAATATAAAACTGACAGGCAATAATTCATGATACACTTTAAGTTATTATAGAAGCTTAAATAGTCACATTTTACTTTAATTCTCCAGTTACCAACACTTTTGACATAAAGTGCCTGCTAGCATGACCGACCACGATTACAACTTAAAAGCTCTCCGTGAGGCGTGTGACGACTCGGATATTGAGGACATCGACATGGATGCGGACAATTCTAAGGGACTAAAAATAAATTGGGACCACACACCAACTCAAGGACCGAATCCAAAGAAATCGAAGGTTCATGACGAAAAACAAATGGCAGAGGATAGCAGCAGCACCATTCTCCAGGCAATTCAAGTCTTATCTGGAAAAATGGATGAACAGACAGAGCTGTTAAGAAAGTTTGAAAAACGCATTGAAGCAAACACTGAAGCAGCTAAAGAAAATAAGAAAGAAATTTCTGTTCTTCAGAAAAAGTTTGATGATCTTCTGAAAGATAACACTTTACTACGTAAGTCTGGCGAGGAGCAAGCCCGCTACAAACGGAGGTGGAATCTGAGGATGAATGGTCTGCCTGAAAAAGAAGGAGAAAACACAAGAGAAGCTGTCATCGGGATACTCACAAGAGTTGTTCCGCTGTCTGTGGAGAAGCTGCGTGACTCAGTGGACACTGTCCATCGGCTGGGAATAAAGGGTAATGCAGCTACCTCCAACAATACATCGCGGTCTATCATCATTCAGTTCGGGATGAGGACCGTTCATGACGAGGTCTGGAAAAAGTCCAAAGATGCGAGAGTCTGCAGCGAGATGCACATTCGTTTCAAAGAGGATTTCTCCAAGGAGGACCGGGAGGCTCACTCCAAGCTGTGGCCACTGGTTCAAGAAGCCAGGAGAAAGGGGAAGAGAGCCTTTCTGAAGGAAGGCTTCGCGCTGATCGACAACAAAAGAGTGGACCCGGAATAATGTGAAAAACACTGCAGTAATAAACTGGAGGGACAGGGAGCGGGTTTTCTGTCCTGTTCTGTAGGTATGCTGAAGTTCTCAGTTTGATTGTTTTTAGGATTGGACTTTTCTCAGGTTATATAAAAAATGTTGTGAGCTATTGCACTGAATATGTTAGTTAAGGGCTACGTTACTCACTCTTGCGAATCGATATAGCATTCTTTTGTGCATTTTCTTAAGGATTCTATCTTTACTCTTTCAATGTTATCTTTTATATCCTTAAATGCTAGGGGGCTAAAAAACAATGTGAAGCGTAAGGACATTTTTCTTTGTTGTAAGGAACAAAGAGCAAATTGTGTTTTTTTGCAAGAAACTCATTCTGCAGAGGCAGACTAAGTTCTGGAAAGTACAATGGGGAGACAACATTTATTTCAGCCATGGAACATCACATTCGGCTGGAGTGATGATTTTATTTAACAGGTTACCTGGAAATATAATTGACCACAGGAGTGATACAAACGGTCATTGGCTAATGGTTGTGACTGATGTTCATGGGACTAATTACATACTGGTGTGTGTTTATGGGTATAACAGAAAGATTCAAAACAATAATTTTCTTTCAATCTTGTGCCAAAAATTAGAGGAATGGAATTTATATGACTGTTAAGATTATAATCGGAGGGGATTTTAATGTAGTTCCTGGTTAGATCGCCCTCCCACCGTTTTTTTTCGAGACAATGTCTCAGGGCTTCTTAACATTTATGAAACTATTAATGTGTAGCACCAGATTAACGGGAAGAATCTCAGCTAACTGAAGATACGAACCATTTTTACCTAAACAAAACACAAGGGTAATACCAAGCCTCTGAATTAGCACTAAGCGAAAAAATGCTAACGCACTTGGCACACAACTCAAGATAAAGATACCCTTATTACTTATCGTAACTGCACATACAATATATCCGATTAAAGCTGAGACTCCACAGATTATATAGGTATAGTATCATCACTGAGCGATCCGAACTCGCGACAGGGGAAGCAAACACAGACATCACAACACGTACCTTTACGGAGCTTTTACGGGAGATCGTCTCACCGTAGCTGTCAATCTGATCAAAAGACGTGTTCAATGGCATTAAAACGAGAAAAAACGCAGCTGAATCGGTTAATCCATAGGTTAATAATCTATCTGTCGCTTTGAAAAAATTATTTATAATCCATAATTCCATTTTTATGTAAAAATCGGAGAGAAAAGGTTAGCTGCTAATGGTAGCCAACAGAGTGTAAGCAGCTTCCGGTTTTGGCCACGCGTCACTCTCACTCCTTATTTGTTAATGTGTCGATCAAAATCGACCAAGGGGGGCCAGAGATATGGAAAATCCACCCAAATGACCCCAGAAGTGGTTTCTTTTTGCTAAATCTCTCTATAAAGGTCAAATTTCACTTGTTTTGCATCAATCTTCATACAGGGTACTTATTATATGTTGTACTTTGGATTCCTAAAGCTTTTAGTCTACCTTACCATCATCCAAGGGTGGTTTTCACTATAAGTAAAAAAGAATTTTTGGACGGACACTATAATTTACAGTTTTTTACTATGTAAAATCTGAATTTTCTTTAAAAATAAAAAACATCTATATTGATTCTGACTTTTCTACATCCAACTCACAGGTTTATCATTACTTTGAGAAAAAAGATTATTAATTTAACCCTTTTAGAAGGGAAGATATGGTCATTTGTTCTGGGAATGTCATTTTCGAGCCTGAGACCTTAAAAACAGGCTCAGGGTGGAACAGGTTAATGATGTCACTATAGAAAATCAAGACCAGATAAATGAGGAAATTAGACTTTTTTTATAGCAATTTATACAACTCAAGGTTTTCTAAAGAAAATTGTGATAACTTTTTTAGTAAAATTACAGAATACAAAAAGACAATAGATGATTCTTTTAAACAGTATATGGACGATCGACTACAAATTGAAGAATTAGATAGTGCATTACTGCAAATGTCTGGTGGCAAATCACCAGGGCTGGATGGTTTAACCATAGAGTTTTGCGAGAAATGCTTTATAAGGCGTTCACAGATTGAATTTGAATGAGTGTCACTCATATAAAACGATTTTATACGACATAACCCATCATTTTTACAAGGACAACATCAGAAAGGACAAGACCTGGTGTTTAGTCGCTGGAGTTTGTGGAGTGGAAGGTGAATATTAATGTTTTAAAGTTAATTAATGTATTTAATGAATTGATTGAATGAATTAATGAATTGTTGAACTGTTATTTGATGTTCCTGTTTAAAATGTTGTTTTGGGTGAAATTGTAATAATTAAAACGTTTATTAAACTTGTGGTCAGTGATTTATTGATTATATATATAGAATAATTATGATGATGAATGCATATTTTTTTACCACTAAAATACAGCAACACATCTTTGATTCATGTCGTTTATAACTGGACTATTACAATTATTATTAACTGTGTCTGTAGTCTACAACACAACAAAATAGGAAATAACAACAATAAACACAATTTAAACAGACACAAAAATAAACCATTTAACTACTGTAGAAGTACAACAAACTGCGAGCCTGCACGCAAGACGCTCCGCTTCTGAAACGCGCCCGGTAGGTTATGACGCTGGAGGAGGTCGGACCAAAACTGCGCCGCAGCCGTAACGCGGCGCAGACGGACCCGGTGGAATCTAGGGGTGAGACTTGGCTCAATCCCGCTATCCCGGACTCCGCCATTGTTCCTGACGGATTCACTATTTTTCGCCAGGACCGGACTGTTAACTCTGGGAAAAGTAAAGGTGGCGGTGTGTGTGTAATGACTAATAACAACTGGTGCACAGATGTGAAGGGTATTTCTTCGGACTGTTCCGCTCATCTAGAGCACCTTATGATCACATGCCGGTGTTCCGGATTAACTGGTTTCCCGATCAACTGGGGCACAGGCATGGCCTTCGACTGAAATACACATTTCGATCGCTTCTTCTGTCGTTTACATAAATCTTTTGGTATATTTGGCTCGGTAGGAAGACTTTGATGCACATTCAGTACCAGTGTGTGAGGTTGTGGTTACGATGGCGATATCCGGACGCGAACAGCGAGGACTACAAAAAGAAAAACTAGTTGACTGGGGATGACTGTCTGTCCAAACATTGCGAGCTCCAATAAATCATTTAAACCAGCTATTGTTGCCAGACTTATTACTGAATATCGTTCTTAATGTGATACCAAGTCCATCTGAGACCTGTGTACACCTTCAGACAGCCTCCAAATGAAGCGTACGCTGTTTACTCACAGTTTGAAAGCAGCGTGGAGACGTCTTCAGCTGTGGTAAACTGTGATCCGCTCAGGTAAACTGCGATCCGCCCAGGGAAAAATGGGATCCGCCCAGGTTAAACTGTGTTACGACTTCTGTGGCTATCTACCAGCGATCATGTTTAATATGAAAGACTACACACACATGTATCCCTTGTAAAAACTGTATTCTGCAGCACTCATCCAGATAAGATGTGACTGTTAACTCGTTTTGCAAAGATAGCAGCAGAA